CTCAATCCCCAGTAGGGTGCATGCAGGAGGCAGCCGACCAATGATTCTCTCTCATCATTAATGTTTCTAACTCCCTCTCCCTTCCTCCTGAAATCAATAAAAATATATTTTAAGAAAATACCTTTCCCACCTATGGTCATTAACATTTTCTCCGACATTATCTTTTAGACCAGAGGTTCTCAACCTTTCTTTAATACAGTTCCTCATGCTGTGGTGACCCCAACCATAAAATTATTTTCGTTGCTACTTCATAACTGTAATTTTGCTACTGTTAGTGAATCATAATGTAAATATCTGTGTTTTCCGATGGTCTTAGGCTCTATGGCAGTGGTTCTCAACCTGTGGGTCATAACCTACAGGTTGAGAACTGCTAGCAGGGTCACCTGTTAGTGGTTATAATTAATACATAGTCATAGTTTTTTAAAATAAATCCAGCTCCATTTAAATCTCCATTAAGTAAATCCAGCTGCCATTTAAATCTTCCATTAATATCTCCAATAGTAATTGTGGGTTTTCATTTTTCCTTGTAAGTTTGTCAGTTTTTGCTTTATTATTTGATGCTTTGTTATAAGTTTACATGTATTCACTTTTTTTTGCAGGCTAAGTCCTGTCTCTAGTCTGATTCCTAGTTCATTTTGGTTCTTTGGCTTCAAAATCTGAAAAGTCCTTGGACAAGGCTATAGCCCTGGGGAGCCTTAGTGTGATAAATGGGGGAGATTTTCATACCTGTGTATGATGTGCTGTGCCCTTCTGTAGTCATTATATATATGGTAGAACTCTGATTTTAATGATGTACTTAATCTCGATTACCCTATATAAAAGAATGGTCCGAGGGAGTCAGCTGAACTTTGAGGAAGTCTGATGTTACCTTCATCCAGCTAGATTTATCTTACAACAACCCAGGCAAAAGTGTCTTCGCTTTTATATAAAAGTATGAGCTTAAGATTGTCAAATTACAGCGGGGAGGGGAGGAGGGTCTGGGGGAGATAATAAGTCAACCCAAGGACTTGTATACATGCATATAAGTACAACCAATGGACATAAAACTCTGGGGAGGGAGGGGATATGTGTGAGGGAGGGAGGGGGGCAAAAAAATCAATAAAATATGGGGGGAAAAAAATGAGCTTATACCGTCACAGGCTTGCTAGCCCCACCCCACGTCCTACCCCCACCCGCCCTCTCTCTACAGTAATTAACAGGATTCTTTAGTGATTACTCTTGGGAACGCAGGTCCTCCTAATGAACAAATGGTTGGTAAAAGAACCTAAGCAAGATGAAAATAATTTCCCTTTTTCCTGATAGCTGCTTAAAACATAATATTTTGTATCACAGAGCTCTCTCTGGTAAAGAGATAAATTGAGAACCTTTTAAAACTATCATTCCTGTCCCGTCCAAAATTTAGACTGCATGAAACTGTGTCATTCTACTTTCTCTTACAGTTATCTATACAAATGTTATTTGTAAAAAGACAACAACAACAACAAAAAATAGAACATGGACTTCAGACAATGTTGCTATATCCTGTAAAATGGAACCAGTATCCTCTGTCTGCCTTTCTAATCATTGCCTTGGTTGATAAATTATTACCTACAAGTACCTTTTATGTTTAAAAAATATATATTTTATTGATTTTTTTACAGAGAGGAAGAGAGAGGGATAGAGTTAGAAACATCGTTGAGAGAAAATCATCAATCAGCTGCCTCTTGCACACCCCCTACTGGGGATGTGCCCGCAACCAAGGTAAATGCCCTTGACCAGAATTGAACCCAGGACCTTACAGTCTGCAGGCTGACGCTCTATCCACTGAGCCAAACCAGCTTTGGCTATAAGTACCTTTTAAATGAACATCTCTATTTGCCAAAGTTATATCTATATCTACATGCAAGTCTTGTTAGTAAAAAAAGGCTTGGATTTATTTCTTCTCCTCTCATTTATATAATCTCAGGACTCTCCTTGGATTCCACATTCAAAGAGCTTGAGAGATTTTGTTTTATTTCTATTTTATATTTTTAATCTCTATTGTTGAAAGTATAATATTATATATTGACCCCTTCTAGCCTGCCCCTGTTACCCCGCCCCTTTCCGTCCCAGCCTTCACCACCCTATTGTCTGTGTCTATGACTTATGTACATATGCATACAAGTTCTTTGGTTGATCACTTCTTACCCTCCCCCACCTTCCCTCTGAGAGTCTACAGTCTGTTCTATGCATCAATGTCTCTGAGTCTGTTTTGTTCATCAATTTATTTTCATTAGATTCCACAATATGAGTGAGATTATGCAATACTTGTCTTTCTCTGATGAGAGATTTTGTTTTATTTAGAATAACACCTACTATAACTTTTCCCCATACACTTAATTTCAACCTTTGTGTGTCTTTTTGCTTTAATTTTTACTAAATCCAATTGACATTTGTTTTTTAACTGGCAAATTGAATATGTTAATATTTCTTGAGCATACTGAAATTGTTTTCTATTTACCCTACTTTGCTTCTTTTTCTCCTTTCTTGCCTTTTTTATTTTATTTTTTTAAATATATATTTTATTGATTTTTTTACAGAGAGGAAGGGAAAGGGATAGAGAGCTAGAAACATCGATGAGATAGAAACATCGACCAGCTGCCTCTTGCGCACCCCCTACTGGGGATGTGCCCGCAACCAACGTACATGCCCTTGACCAGAATCGAGCCTGGGACCTTTCAGCCCGCAGGCCAACGCTCTATCCACTGAGCCAAACCAGTTTCGGCCTTTCTTGCCTTTTTAAAAAAATTATAGTTTTTTTTTTTAAGCCCTGGATAGCATTGCTCAATGATTAGAGTGTTGGCCTGCACACCAGAGGGTCATGAGTTCGATTCCCGGTTAAGGGCCCATACCTGGGTTGTAGGCCCAATCCCCAACTCTGTCAGGGTGCATGTGGGAGGCAACCAATCCATGTGTCTCTATCACATGATGTTCCTCTCTCTCTCCTCCCCATCCCTCCACTCTACTCTCTCTAAAAATAAATGAGGGAAAATTAATAGTTTTCTTGTCCCTCTCTATTAATTAGAAAAATAATACATTATATTTCTATTATTTTATTTTTCAAGAAAAAATTCTTAGCATATACCATATATTATATATGAATGGTTTCTAATGATCATCTATCTATAATTCTATCCTCTATGTCAAATATAAACTGTCTTTTCTATTTTCACTTCCTTCTCTCTCTAAGCTACATTTTGGTTCTCTTTTAGCTCTTTCTGGTCTCTCTTGATATTACCTTATTCTTTTCTCACATTTTTCATTCTTTCATGTACTCAGTAATTTGAACATGCTTTTAAATCTCCGTCCTAGTATTTGAAATATTAGGAGTTCCGCCACATTAGATCTAACTCAATGGTGGATTGGTATTTGGATTATGAACTCATCTTCAGGGGACTTAATCTGAGAGAACAGTGTGAGTCTGAGTTGAGATGTATCCTCCTGAGAAGCTTTTTGTTTGTTTCTGCCAGGCTTCCAAGAGAATATTATAATCTAAGATCACATTAAAAAAATATTTTTCCCTAAGGATTCCAATATTATGGAACTATCATAAATTCAAGCCCCTAAATCCTTTCAAGGCATGCTATAGTCCCCAATTCTCAATGGAAATCCTTTTTCTTCTATCTAGAGTTCAAACCCAAATAGACAAGCCCCCGTGTCTTACCTTTTACTCTATACTTTCTCCTTGATAATACCTTCTGCAATGAACGTTTCAGTTGTCTCTGTCAACAGCTTCAAGATTTTACCTATTTTCATCCTAGATTCCCTCCTGCTTCCCAGACCCTGGTATCCAACAACCGATTTGAATATCTGAGGCACCAAATCAGATTCAACTAGTTTAAGATCAATAAGATTTATGACCTTCCCCTCAAAAGTAGCTCCCTTCTAGTGTCTTCTGGTTTAATGAATGGCACAGTTATGCATACAGTTGTTCATTCCACAAATCCAGGAGCCATCTTTGCCAGCTCCTCATCTCTCCACCCAACCTATGATATGCCCCTATCAATTACGCTTCTTATTTTACCATATCCCTCTTAAATCTACCCAGTCTCCCAATCTCCACTGTTTTCAGAGTACTTCAAGCTACTTGTTCCCCACATTCATTCCTCCAATGCATTCTCCACAAAGAGTGAATTTATCCAAATACAAATTGGATTGTTTCTCTTTCCTGCTTGAAACTCTCATTCACTGGCTTCAAATTCATGGCTATCAAGTCCTTAAATGGTCTGCTTGGCTTTGGGTGACCAGTGCTGCCTATCTCTCAGACTCAGCCTCATTCCATTGTCCTCTTCTCACTCTCACTTTCTATACTTCAGCCAGATTGGCTCTCGTTGTGTTACTTAAAACCACAGTCCTCCATCTTCCCACACGGTTTTGGTACAAGCTGTTTCCTTTCTTTGGGAGGCTAATTCCCCTACCCCGAACTTGGTCTAGTCAGTACTTAACTCATCTTTTATTTATTTGTTCAAGCATCATTTCTTCAGTTCTCATCACTTTCTTTCAAAGTTTTTATATTAGTTTATAACCATATAGTCATTACTGTGAATATTTGCTTGATAGCTGTTTTCCCTACTTGGCTATAAGTTTAGTCAAATCAGGGACCTTATCTAGTTATTTTCATTACTATTGATATATTCTGAATTCTGGAATAGGCATAACATAAAGAGTGCTTAATAAATATTTCTTGAGTGAATAAATAATCATGAAAAATATAACTAAAATATACATCTGTTTAAACAATCTAAAGGGAGAGATGAAGTGAATAGAGTTATGGATAAAACTAGTGACAACTATATTGGGATCCATTATACTATTTGTTCTACTTTTCCAGGTTTTTGAAATTTTTCATAAAAATGATTATTCAACTTACGAAGTCATAATACTTCATTTGAATTTGATAAGTGGTGAACTTCATATTAAAAAATAGAGTATCAGCTCTTTAGGTAATGAAAATATTATTCAACCAAAAATATTATACTGACCTGAAGATATTTCGGAAATGGTTAATTGGACCAGTTAATGCTCCAGGCTGGGAAAACACATAAATATAAGCTTCAAGATCTTCCGAGGTTAATCGACAACCTTCTCTTCTAATGCCAGTGCGATGGCTGGTAAACAGATGTTTCAAAGCCTAATTTAAGTGGAAAGAGAATGATTAAAACTTTTTGTTACCTAATAATAAACTATGGTATCTCTTGTGTAGAAGAGGGGTAGACAAATATATAAATATTTGCTTATATTTTTAAAAAGAAAGAATAAAAAGATGAAATAAAAACTAATTAAAATGGCTTCCTATGTGAAAGGGTAGAAACAGAGAAAGAGGGGAAACAGAGATGTAAGTGAGACCTCTCTGTACCTTGTTTTAGAATTTTGACTTAAAGTCATATAAATATTTGATATTGAATGTTTTATATAAGTTTAGAAAAAACACTGTAATCTTAAATTTGCTTTGAAAATATGAATAAGAAATCATGATTTATTTTTATTTTATTTTATTTTTGTCTCTAAAAAATAGGTATATCCAAATTTGGCCCAATGGAAAGATCTACAAACAATGAAAACCCAGTTAGAGAATGATCACCTGGACACTCAGATTGTGGTCTCTAAATACCATTTTCTACTAATAGGTCATTTCCTTTGATAAATGTCCAATTCCAGGTCTGGGGCAGAAAATAAAAGAAACCTAGATCATTAAAAAGCAAACTATCACTGACTAAAGTGCTTCTGTTAAAAGGACACAGGAGCTGTCCTGGCCAGTGTGGCTCAGTTGGCTGAGTGTTGTCCCATGCACCAAAAGGTTGCTGGATCTATTCCCAGTCAAGGGCACATGCCAAGTTTGTAGGCTCGATCCCAAGTAGGGAGCGTGCAGCAGGCATCCGATCAATGGTTCTCTCTTACCATTGATGTTTCTAGTTCTCTCTTCCTCTCCCTTCCTTTCTGAAGTTAATAAAAAGTCTATTTTAAAAGAAGAAAAGAAAATTCTTCTTTATAGAAGAATTCCAGTTCATAAAAGCAGAAAGAATAATAGAATTAGAAAACCACCAATTTGCAAACCCTAATGAAATAATGTACCAAGCAATGATGATCAAGTTCTACTAAAATTATTTGGTGAAAGATTGCTTGGAAATTTTGGATAAGCTGACAACTTGTCAGCCCACTGTTCAGCGTAAGCATTATTTCAACAGACACCTAGACATTATGTACTCCCCTGATATGATAACATTAGGAAATATACAACTATGCTTATCAAATTAAATGTATAATCAAGCCTCTGGATCACTAACATCTGCAGAGTAGAAAAAAACAAGGTTTAGCAAAATAACACCATATTGAAGAAGTCAGCCAAATTAAAAATGTAGATCATTCCTCAGGACAAATTACTAAATTTCTTTAATAATAATCAAAGTTGCCCGGCTGGTTGAGCATTGACCGATGAATCAGGAGGTCACATGAATCAATTCCTGGTCAGGGCACATGCTCAGGTTCCAGTCTTAATCTTCAGTGTGGCGTGTGCTACAGGTAGCCGATTAATGATTCCTCACATCATTGATGTTTTTATCTCTTTCTCTCCCTTCCTCTCTCTGAAATAAATTTAAAAAAACTTTTTTTTTAATTGTGTTAAACAACAGAAACCCAATGTGGATACCTTGGGAGGTTACTCTTCCAGACTCTGTCCAGGTGGCATAGGGAAGCATAAGGCTCTGCCCCAAGAGGGCAATCCTTTCCCACGACATTGGAGATAAGCCTGTCCCTTGAATTTGTACCTACATATTCCTATGGCTTCTCAGAGCCCTATAGATAATGACTGAGGAGACAAATCATTCAGGAAACATCTGGTATACTAAAATTTAAATCTTAAGTAACATCTTAAATAGTCTAATCTTCTGGGGGGGGGTGTTGTTTTGTTTTAAAAACAAACAAACAAAAAATAAGGAACTGTTATAATTTTAAAAGCCATCACAACCAAATACAATGTTTAGATCTTGTTTAGTTTCTGATCCAAACAAATAAAGTGTATAAAGACAACTGAGACAGTAAGGAAATTTAAATGAGTATTAAATGATATGACAGTTTTTCATTTTGGTAGGTTTGTTAATGGCATTGGAGTTATGTGGGAAAGACAAGTCATAATTAGCAGAGATATATGCAGAAGTATTCTTCAGGTAAAGTAATATTGTCTTTTTTTTTTTTTTTTAACCTCCCTAAATTCCTACTATTATGTCAGATATACAAGAAGCATTCAATGCCCTTCTAAGAAATTGCTACTACGTAGGACTCCTGGTGTCAGGGTACATGGTACCCAATAACTGCTTATTTTGTTTCAGGGTTTTGTTTACCTCCAAGGGCTTCCACTTTTTCTGTCAAACTGTTTCACCTGGCATTCATATTCCCTCATCTCCCCCATGGGTTTTTCTCTAAAAAGAGGTATTCCTATAGGCCAGTGGTCAGCAGAGCCAAATATCAACAATACAATGATTGAAATTTCTTTTGAGAGCCAAATTTTTTAAACTTAAACTTCTTCTAACTCCACTTCTTCAAAATAGACTCGCCCAAGCTTTGGTATTTTATGGAAGAGCCACACTCAAGGGGCCAAAGAGCTGCATGTGGCTCACAAGCCACAGTTTGCCAACCATGGCTACAGGCTGTAGGCTCTCAAAAAAACCTCCAAAAACTGAACACTCAAATACATAAACAGATTTTAAAAATAAGTAGCCTATAAATGAAGCCTTAGAAGCATTATTAAGTTTTAATATTTTGTCTACTTTTCTTTCTTAAGATGGAGTTTAATTTTTTTTTTTTGCATAGGAGGAAATACCTAACACAATATAACAGATGTTCAATAAATGATTATTTAAAATACAGCAAAACAACACTAGCAGGACCAGTTCTTTTCTTTTTTTAGTGTTTCAGTCTATCTTTATTTTTAACTTCCTAATTTTGTCATCTTCTTGGTGCACCAAATCTTTTTTTTTGTTGTTAATTGAGGTATAATTGTCTTATAACAGTTAGTTTCAGGTGTCCAACATAATGATTTGATAGTGTACATGTTGCAAAATGACCACTGCAATAAGCTCTGGCTAACATCTATCACTTACATATGACTCACCTTGAAATCATTTATTGAGAACATAAATTCTGGGAACCATGGTATCTGGAAGAAGTAATAATAGCTGGATTTGAACAGCTGGGTAGGGTGTCGTAAAATATATTCTGAAATTAAAATGTCATGTTAGACCTTCTCCAAGGAATATAAAACTAGTTACTATTGAAAAAACTAATTTTTAAGGCAATTTCACCCTTGAGATAATCCCTTAAAAGCATCCACAAATAAGAATTTCTGTGTAATTTCTCTTTGGAACAGTTTTTAAGTTCTTATATTTATTATGGGTATTTTATTATGGGTATTTAGAAAAATTTATAGCACTTCAAAGAAAGAAGGAAGTTTCCCTTTGTGAAGTCTTGACTCAGAACAGAACAGGAAACTCAAACAACACCGCCATTCTTTTAAGGTCATTATCAGTGATCTAGCACTTTCCCTAGAGATGCAATGGGAGGTCATTTTCAACTGCTTAAAAGATTTTCCTTATGGGTTGATTTGAATGCCTTATCCATTTGACCTCATCAGAAAAGAAAGTGTCCCCTATAAATTTACTCATGAATCCAGAAAATTCATACATTCAATGAATATTTAAATAGTTACTGTGTTTGAGGGGATTTAGCAGTGAACAAGACAAAAGATGTTCTCATTAACTTACATAATAAATAAATAATGAATACTTAAAAGAACATTTTGATAGCAATACTACCATAAAGAAAATAAAACAAGGTAATTTGATTCAGAATGATGGTTGGGCAATCATGCACAGATCTAGAAAGAGCATCCAGAAACAGAACGTGGCACATTCAAGAAGCAGAAAGGCTGCTGTGGCTGGTGGGTGGTGAACAGAAGGAAACGGTGTGAAATGTGTCAGGAAGAAAGGCAGGGTGGGGCAGATAGTGCCAACAGTGACAGCATTTAAAAATGCTTTGGGAAGACACTGAAGTTTTAATTTGGAAAGTAGTGAAACCATGCATATTAAATGTGCGTATTCTTGGATAAGTGGAGTATTGTCATCATTGAACAAGGTTTTGTCAGCCCTGCATTAAGAGATATCAATACACCTTTAACAGATTTGACTCAATGGATAGTGTTAGCCGGTGGACTAAAAGGTCCCAGGTTCGATGTGGGTGAAGGGCATTGATTGCAGGCACATCCCCAATAGGAGGTATACAGGAGGCAGCTGGTCGATGTTTTTCTCTCATCGATGTTTCTAACTTTCTATCTCTCTCCCTTCCTCTCTGTAAAAAGTCAATAAAATATATATAAAAAAGAGCGATCAATACAATTATAAGCATACTATTGACAATTTCATATTGACCGGGGTTGATCCCATTGATAAAACAGTTTTAGCAATATTCCAAGTTTTTGCTGAAATGACCAATTACAGTTTATCTAAAACAATATTGACTCTGGGTCCTGATCAATTGAGCAAGGATGTAGTATAACTTCTGTTGATTAATGAAATGGGGAAAAGCATGACTATCTCAGTTTGGTATTTGAGTCCTAAACATACATCCTATTGCCTCGAGACAGGTCAATTGGATATGAATCTAAAATTGGACTCTTACATGTCCTTATAATGTATAATATTTAGGTAGTCATGGTCTCCTTTTCCCCGACCTGCTTAATTTTGAGGAAGAAACAGAAATATGTTGTTCTGAATTTTTTTGTTCCCAGAGGTTGCTGTGGGTTGTAGCAATACCTGAACCCCCGAAAATTTGACAAGTCTAGTTAAAGAGGACAAAACTACAATTTCTGCCAAAATCAAATGAAAATGTTCCTACCCATTGTTCACAGGCCTTTAGTCACCTTTAAGATTTTATGAATTCCCTTTATAACAGAAGTTCTCGAAATATACCGTAGTCCATGTATATCCCTGTGAATCCCAAAGACCCTTTTAAGGACTCTGGATGGTCAAAACGATTTCATAACAACACTAAGACATTATTAGCTTTTCGCATTTGGTTGCCATTTGCACTGATGTGACAAAAGCCATGGTAGGTAGAACCATTGCTTCCTGTGCACAAATCAAGGCAGTGACACAAAACAATAGTAGTAGTCATCGTTTCCTTCACTACCACACACTTGCAACAAACAAATACATAAAACTAAATGCCAGTTTCACTTAGGAATGTCCTTGATGAAACAGCAAAAATTATTAACTTTATTACAGTCCCACCTTTGAGTACTTGTCCTTTTAACATTGTGATGAGATAGAATGTACACACAAAGCGGTTCTGTTGCACACCCAAATCCAACGGAAAAGCACCTCTTAAGGAAAAGCACCTTTGCAATTGTTTGAGTCTATAAATGGAATTGGCTGCATTTTTTACGGAACATCATTTTCACCTGAAAGAATGACTAACAAACTATTAACTGTCAGACCGGGGTATGTGGCAGGTTGACTCTTGAACATCAACAGAGCAATCCTTTCACTTGAGGGGAAACAATCGGCAGTATTTGCTGCCAAAGATAAAACTCAAGCTTTCAACTGAAAATCAGAATTTTGGAAACTTGTATCTGCTGCTGTGAGCTTGATGGCTTTGGAACACTTAATGGCTTTTTAAAAAAATAGAAATTGAGGTAATATTAATGAACATGAGATATAATGAAATGTTTCAAATTATGGAAGATCTAAATAACTCAACCACTTTCTTCCAATCCATGATGAAAAATCCATTCAAAGAGATAGAGACACCAATGGATTTTAACATAACCGAGCACAAAAGTTCATTAATCTGACATCAAATTTCACATTGTTACTAACCTTTACAGGACCACCAACTTTTGAGTTTGATGTAGTGGTAAAGAAGAAAATCCACAATTCTCTGAAAAGGCTATTAAAATACTCCAGCCTTTTTCAATTATAAATCTGTGTGAGACCAGATTTCTTCATATCCTTCAATTCAAACAACATATTGCAACAGATTGAATGCAGAAGCAGATCTGAGAATCCAGCTGCCTTTTATTAAGCCAAAAATTAAAGAGGTTTGCAAATATGTAAAACAATGACACTATTTTCTCACTAAAATTTTGTTTTGAAAGATGTAATTAGTTTTCATTAAAATGTTTTTTTTTATGTTAACGTACTGGAGTTATTGGGGTTTGTTTTTGTTTTTTTTTAGATAATTTCACACATATATTTTTCAAACTCTCATTTTAAATTTCCAAAAGCTCAATGGGCAATATTGATAACTTTTAAGATATAAAGGAATCCTGAGACCAAAATTTGAGTACTGCTGCTTTAAAAAATGTTGCCATTCCTGGTAGGGAAAGCTGTCAGGTAAGAGGAGAACTTATTTCTAGGCTGTCAAAATTCATTTCCACCTAAGACTTAGATTCTAAGTTGTGTTACTGCATCTCCTCCTATAACCCTCTGCAAGTTAGCAGTAAATTATTTTCTAAAAATAAAATTATGCAAGCAAACATGAAGCTACAGTTTCTTAGACTCTAAATATTAAATATTTAAAGCACATTGTCATGTGCTAACATATTTTAGCCATTTAATTTTTAAAATATTATGTTAATTAAAAAATATTGATAATTAAATTTTGCTGTTTTTATTTTTTTAATATATTTTATTGATTTTTTACAGAAAGGAAGAGAAAGGGATAGAGAGTTAGAAACATCGATGAGAGAGAATCATCGATCAGCTGCCTCTTGTACACCCCCCTATTGGGGATGTGTCCGCAACCAAGGTACATGCCCTTGACCGGAATCAAACCTGGGACCCCTCAGTCCGCAGGCCAATGCTCTATCCATTGAGCCAAACAGGTTTTGGCAAATTTTGCTGTTTTTAATCCAGAGTGTCAGTGGCAACAGTGAATTGTTGTGTTGGCAGTTCATAATGGAAATTTAAGCTCACCTGTAAATACATTTGGATGAGGAAAGTTAATAACAATAAGCTTCATCACCATTTCAGGATAACAGATGGCAATTAGCCAGGCAATCATGCCCCCCCAGTCGTGGCCAATAAGAACACATTTGCTATAACCTGTAATCAAGAAATAAATATTGACATCACTGAAAAGAAACGGGCTCATCATTAACTCACAAAAAATAGGTTCACTTCTGAAACTAATCTTTCCACTATTCTACCCTAATTATTCACCCAATCTGTGTAGGCTCTGAGTTTCATATCTTCAAAACCTTTAGGTATGCCCGCATCACCTAGGTAACTTTAGAAAATTCGGGTGCCCAAGCTCCACTCTACACTTAGTACAAATTCAGAATCTCTCCTACGAATATAAATATATTTTAATCTGAAATAGTTTGGACACCACTATTACATGTGATTATTTGAGTTATTTTTGAATGTTGGAGAATTTCTAATTACAGTAAAAACCTAAATGTCCCACCTATATCCAACTGGTAAATCTTTATTTTAAAGAAGCATCTATTTTTCCCTCTAATTTTTCAAATTCAATGTTACAACTCAAAACAGTAAAACATCACTAATTTGGGACTGTAAGGTCAAATTGAATTAGTGGAAAGTCTTAATTATAGTACTAAATACATACAAGTTTCATTTCATGTAATCATTACAGCTACTTGAATTAGGTTAAAATACTGAGTAGTAGTGATTTTCTACAAGATTTTCTTTGTTTAGATGGATAAGATTAATTTGTAATTTATTTCTATAGTACTTCAAATTAATTTTTTCAAATAAGTATTTTTCATCATCATCCCACCACTATACTAACATGCACACACATACACACACAGAAGAACATCTTGTTTATATTATTGATTTGCCTAGAAAATTGTACGTTGACAAATTTAAGCCAGGTCTAAAATATAAATGAAATCTGGCTGTTGGAAATCTGTGTCTCTGAGTCTATTTTATTGTAATCAGACTAAAGGGGAAAACTGCATTGATACCCCCAGACTCATTCATTTTTTTCTCCTCTAAAAATATTAGCTAGGCCTTAGCTGGTTTGGCTCAGTGGATAAAGCATCGGCCTGCAGACTGAAGGGTCCTGGATTCGATTCTGATCAAGGGCACATGCCCAGTCTCAATCCTCAGTAGGAGGTGTTCAGGCGGCAGCCAAACAATGATTCTCTCTCATCATTAATGTTTCTCTCTCTCCTTCTCCCTTCCTCTCTGAAATCCATTTCAAACCAAATTTTGAAAGTAATTTTTGGCTAGTGGACTGAATAATTATTCTGGATGTATTATTTTAAATTCCCTGAATAAGCATTTTGATCTGGAACCCCAAACCACAGTAACAGAATTCAGATAACAACCCAGGTAGGTGAAAAAGGCATCCTTCCAAGGAATTAGGTTAGCACTTCACAATTTCTTGAATTGTAGTCCCTTAAAAAGAATTAATACTATTTTTTTAGTAACCCACCTAAGGAGTCTAAAATATCCTTTATATCTGTAATTAGACAGTCCAGTTTATAATTCTCCCGATGAATGGGAGCGTCTGTTTCTCCATAGCCTCTCAAATCCAGCGCCACAACTCGGTATTCACTTTTAAACTCCCTTAGCTGGTGACGCCAAGAATACCTGCAGGATATAAGGAACATTAAATACACCACAGTGACTATTACAAATAGTAGTATTATAGATTTTCTAAGTGGAAAACTATAAGAAACTCCTTGAGAAAAGTTGTAGAGCTTAGTATAAGCAGGAAAGAAGAGACCTGTTTGAGAAGGGAGCACTGACATTCTTTATTACAATTACTTTATCTTTTTTTTTTACCAGCTCCAGTGGAGCTGTATTTACAGGAACTACAAAATACCAGATATTAAAAGCAATGTAGTTATATCTGCACTTAAGAAATCAATTTTCTAAGCTTTTCTTAAATAACTAGAGGCTTGGTGCATGAAAATTCATGCACTGGACGAGGTTGGGTGGGCTCAGCCTGGCCTGCCTCCTCTCACAATCCGGGAATCCTCAGGGATTGGAGGCGACCCAGTGACCAGGGGAAGGAGATGCCCCTATCACACCTCTGCTGCTGTCACTGCCTCAGCCAATCCTGGTTACACCTCGGGCCAGCCCTGGGCAGTGGGGCAGCCACCATCTGAGGCTTGCCTGTGCCTGGGGCTGGCCCTGGGAAGCTTGGGGGCAGAGAGGACTGGGGAACTCTGGAGGCAGGTGGGCCTGGCCTTGCCATGCACCTGCCACCCTGGCAGGGTTGAGGGGAGTGAGTGTCGCCATCTTGTGGCTGTGGGTGCTGCCATCTTTGAGGGCGTGGTAGTCAATTAGCATATTCCCTCCCTATTGGCTGTGGATGCCTCCATCTTTGTGATGGCGTGTGGGTCAATTAACATATTCCCTCTTTATTAGATAGGATATGGGCAGCTATCAAGAAATATATACCTATAAATATTCCTGTTACTGCAGAACCATTTGATTCTCTAAAAAAATGTATAAGGTGAAAATTTATTTGCCAAAAAGTAGATTTTACTCATCTTACTCCACTATCAGATAGGACTCAGTGTTTTTTAGTAATAACAGTTTACTTATGAATGAAAAAGCCTGAAGATTACAGACAGATTATGACTTCAAGAATCCAATAAAACAATTGGTTAAGATAAACCTCTTCTTGCTAAAACAAAATTCTTCTGTGGAGAAGATCCTACACCATGAGTACAAGCAAGCATGATATTAAAAACATTTAACCATCAAAATGGTACCAGCGTCTGTTGGGCAGGTATTCCCTTTGTGCTAGTTCATGGAACAGCAGAATTAATTTAAATACAGAGATCCATGAGCTTTTCTTCTTCCAATAAGCAAAATCATTTTGGATAACAGAAATAAAAAGACAAATTTTTCAAAATAATTCACTATGTTATAGAACTCAGAATATGCATTAACAATTTGCATGCACATTTGTTCATAAAAGTATCGTGTAAAATTATCTGTCTGACACAAGTCAAATGGAAGATTATTGTCTAAAAAGAAGAAGAAGAAGAAAAGGGTAACCAAGGAGCTCAGTACTGGGTCATTTTGGGGACATTCTATGATCATTATAGAGTTAAGATATAGAGTTATGACATTTGTATCTCTTACCATATGTTGATTCCTTCTTATAGATGTGTAACCCTTGTTTGTTAATAGAGTAGTGCCATATTTTTAAGTGATTAGCATTTTTGAAGATGAATGTGCACATTAAATCTCGTTATAGCAAATAACTAGAATAAATTCATGATGGGGGAATTTTTTGATAGACAAAAAAAAAATAAATAAATAAAATGTGCATTGTTTTAATATCTTAAGTATCTGTGTTTTCATTCAGAATTCACTTAAATAGAGATTTCAAGGTAGAAATTTGATTCAAGATAATGTTTATAATCTCACAATACTTTACATTTAAAATTGTATTAGAAACTATGCAAACATAATACCTGCATTCTCATATTAATAATTAAAATAGCCTTACAAATAAATTTAACTATTGCCATTATCAGTGAATGGAGTTAACAATATCTTAAACATTTCTAAGAAATAGCACGACTGCTATTTTAATAAACTGCAGAGGAATAATTTATAAATGTAATCTTCCTAGAGTTCACAAATAAAGCATAATTGACTTACACTTCAAACTGAAAAAGAAATCACATCAGTGATTCATATGATTAAAACAAAAACAACCCCTTTGATACAAGAATGAGACATATTGCAAAATCAGTAACTCCTGGAAATATTATAAATAGACAAAATAGACTATTTTCACCCACATTTTTTTTTTTTTTTTTTTAGCTTTTGGGAATAGCAGAGAACTCTTTTTAAAAAACCTCTTTCCTAGTTATTGCTCTTAACATAAGGAGGGTTCCTGGTTTCCCAGGCTGGCCGTTTTCAGATGCAGACCATCCTTTCCCCTTCACGGCAGAGGACAGCAGTCATCATCAGCCTCTGTGCTCAGCTGTGTGAATGAAGAGCCCTCGTTTGCCTGTGCACTTGAATAATGACAAACGCGTTCCATACAGCTGGTGATGAAGCCGACCCAAGAAATTGCTGGCATCAACTCAGAGTATTTTTTTAAATGATGCAGCAAGTAAGTGACTGAGGCAGAAGTCACCGCCCATGTTACTTTATGCAGATCTGACTAACGCTTCAAACTTACATTTTATTGTGAGTCAATCATGTCATGCACTCCACTAGCTGGACCTACATACACATGCTGATTTGCACGGGTTATTTACCACCCAATTGTCTCCAGATGAAAGAAAATAAAGTTAACATGAAAATAACTTATGTTTATTTATGCAGGAAAATCCAGAGTGGAGAAAAATCTTATTTGGGGAAAATCTCAGGAAAAGGCATCCATAGACTTTTTTGCTTTGGAAGAATGTTTTGTTTTGTTTTGTTTTGTTTTGCCATCCTCCATTCTTTTCTTCAATGCCTAGTGCACTAGCATCCTCAATGCACCTATATGATAAAAGCCTAATATGCAAATTGTTCGACCAGGAATTCCACTGCTCACTATGACGTGCGCTGACCACCAGGAGGTGGTGAGGAACACAGCAACACTGGCAGCAGGTGGCAGTGGAGGTGCTGCCAGTCCCGATGGGCCCCAATGAGAGCAGGACTGTGGCAGGATGGCAGAACGGGCAGCGCCAGGCCAAGGTGGATGTGAATGGGGGCCCAATCACTCTGCAGACAATGACTAGCCACAGTGGCAGGGGGTGGTGCCCCCAGGTGTTGAAGGAGCCAGGGTGGAGGTTGTGGGGGGGCGGGGGCAGCCTAGATTGACCGCCCAGAGGCGGGATAGTGGAGCAGGTGAGGGGACGATGCCAGACCATGGCGGGGTGCCAGGTGGGGCTTCAGGGCTGCGAGGCTGGGGGCACAAGCTGAGGCCGGATCCCTGCAAGCCCCCCTGAGGGACCCCACGAATTCATGCATGAATTCATGCACCAGGCCTCTAGTAAATTAATAAAGTCCCTGTATTTATGGCACTCTGATAAGCAAAGTATTTAATGCTAAAAAAAAAAAAGTGTTAAATTTGTAAGTTTACCAGAATTCTGGAAATCCATGAAGTAGCAGCATAAGTGGTTTGCCTCTTTCTCCAGCAGCAACATAATGAAATCTTAGTCCAGAATCCTGCAGTAGAAAACATGAAGTTTCCGTCATGATTTATGTTGTTACAGTAGTACAGTTAGTATTTCCATTTCATAAAAAACACACACTCACTTGCATTATTTTTAATATAAAAAAATAAAGATCCCATAGCCAGTTTGGCTCAGTGGATAGAGCATCGACCAGCAGAATGAATGGTCCTGGGTTCGATTCTGGTCCAAAGGCATGTATCTTGGTAGCAAATTGGATCCCAGGCCCTGGGTGGGTGCGTGCAGGAGGCAACCAATCGATGTGTTTCTCTCACATCGTGTATCTCTCTCTTGCTCTGTTTCCCCCTCCCATTCACTGTTTCTAAAAATCAATGGAAACAATGGACACAAAACTCTGGGGAGGGAGGGTATGTATAGAAGGGTGGGAGCAATATTAAAATATGTACACAGATAATAATTTTAATTTAAAAAATCAATATTCTCGGGTGAGGATTAACAACACAAAACACCTTTTAAAAATAATAAAATAAATATTACTTTTTAAAGAGAAAAAAACTATGATTTATCAGTAGGATGAATTGACGGATTTACTTTGTCAACATTCCCTTTATAGTACCTTCCCTTCTACTTACAAAGTCAGTTTAAATATTACCAGCTTCTGAAACAATGTCACAATTTGTGACTTTTATTTTACTGCTGTGTCACATCTCATCTCATTCCATTTTCATAGGATGTGTAAATAAATCCGATTTGAATTTATATTCCTGCCATGTTTATCCCCTAGTCAAGTACTTTTCTCAGCTTGCCCGTCAAGAGCTATGCCATCAGTTATGTAATTCACACCTTCCTTCCTTATTTTTAGTCCTCTCCTTCCCACATTTTTATTTTAAGTTGAGAGTAGCATGCTGCTTGCTCCTCATGTCATCTCTGTGTATTTGAAATAGCAGAACGCTCTGAGTGCTCAAGACTTCACTCTGCATGTGGGAGACAAGGCTGCCCAGGGAAATAAAAAGCATGGGAATGAGTCAGGAATACAGTGAATCAAAACAAACCAAAAGGAGAAAAGTGGAGGGAAAAAAAGCAAGAAAGAAACAAAAACTCATAAAGAAGTGAGAAAAGAAAGCAAGAGCCAAAAGTTGGGCACAGACACTGGTATTATATCAGGTTACCCAAGTACTTGGGTTTTCAGATATGAAAAAATCTTAAAAAGGCATCTAACCCAACCCCATCATTTTTGCAGATTTAGAAACCGAGGTGCAAAGATGGTAACACAGATCATGACATTGGTTGGGAAGAGGGCTGTGGCTAGAACCTACCAGGACAATGTCTTCCACTCCTTGGTCTGTGTCTCTGGAAACCCTTTAGATGGCCAGTGAGAAGAAAGGCATTTCAGATGAGTTTTACACTACTTTTTCTCCGCATGTAGAATGAAGAGAGCAAATCTGACTTTAAATCTGACTTTGCCCTCAACTGCAGAATGCCTTCCTAGGTCGGTAACTTCTTTTCTTGGTGGTGAGTCTTGGAAGGTAAAATACTGTGGGCACTTGATTGAATTTAGTGAACAAATTACTTTACGGCACTTACCATGTGCCAGACACTGTTTTTTTGTTTTGTTTTTTTGTGTTTTGTTTTTGTTTTTAATTTTCACCGGAGGATATTGTCCATTGATGTTTAGAGAGTGGAAGAGAGAGGGAAAGACAGAGAGAAACATCGATGTGAGAGAGACATTAATTGACTACCTCCTGCATGAGCCCTGCCTGGCCCCCTACCAGGGCCTGGGCAGGGAAGGAGTCTGCAACCAAGGTACATGCCCTCGACCAGGGTTGAACCTGGGACCCTTTAGTCCACAGCCGATGCTCTATCCACTGACCCAAACCAGCGAGGGCCAGACATTGGTCTTTTTGGTTGTTGTTTCACAAATCTGAACTCTTTAATGATGTCATGGGCTGAATAAAGGTAAGAGAGGCATACCCCTTGGTCTTCTGGACTACAGCTGCCAGATAATCTAGGTCCTAATAGGAATCCTCCACGTGGTGACACACATGTCCCCTCATGTGAAGCTGGTTTTGAACCGCCTGCGAGTCAAACTGTAGGATGCATTGCAAAGGGCCCCACCCGAGGCCTCAAGAAACAGAACATCGTGGCTGCGAGGAGCCCTGGGACCAGCGCGGACACGGATGAGTCTGCACGCATGGTAGGCACTTACTTTTAATTCCACTCCTCTGGTCTCTAAGCTCATTAGTTGGCTTCCTTGTCCACAAACACACACCACTTAACTTACTTATGATTTCATGCTGCTTCGGTCATCTGTGAATGTTTTATTCTGCTGATCTGAATAAACTCCTGATTTCCAACGACTTACTCTATTTGCTCTCTTAGTCTATCATTTGGGCAAGGACAGACTCCTGAGTCTTTCGGGCGCCACCTGGAACAATTCCCCTACAGCCGATCCGAGCTCTAAAGGGCAAAAAGGGGAAGGGAGACAGCTTCCCCTTCCCATGTAACCTATTCCTCCTCCTCCTCCTCCCTTACCCCTCCCAATCCCTCTCCCCAACACACACACACACACACACACACACACACACACACACACACACACACACACACACTCACACTCACACACTCACAGTCCCCACCCCTCTGCGGCCACACCTCGCCCCTCTGGCCTCCCTTTGGCGTCTTGGTTGTCCCCTGCGAGCCCGGAGCCACCAGGGGACGCCGGGCCGGGCGTCCGGGAAGGAGCAGCCCCGAGCCCTCCCGCCCGCCCGCGGCCCGGCCTTCACCTTGAGGCGCACGTAGCAGTGGGTGCCCAGGGCGGGGTCGCTCAGGCACCGCGGCGGGTGCCCCCGCGCGGCCCGCCGGCAGGTGCGCGCGGGGCCCCGGCCGAGGCTCCACAGGAGCTGGAGCAGGTGGGCGGAGGCGCAGAGCCCGCAGTAGCCGTAGACCAGGGACCAGAAGAGCAGGGACCGGATCGCGAGCAGCAGGCGGGGCAGGCAGTCCCGCAGCCTCGCCATCGCCCTGCGGGCACCGGGGCGGCAGCGCTCACGCCGGCCGCAGCGGGACCGCCCGCCCGTCCGTCCGTCCCGATCGCCGGCTCCGCGCGCACCTCCCGGAGGCCCCGCAGCCGCGCCCGCCGCCGGCCCGCGTCGCAGCCTCGGGAGCTGCTCTCCCGGGCGGAGAGGTCCCCGGGGACCCGCGGGGCTGCGTGGCTGGCCTGCGGGGAAATGGTGAGGCTCCCGGCACCCAGGTGCCCCGAGGGAAGAGCCTCTCTTGTTTTTTATTTATTTATTTTTATTTATTTATTTATTTATTTATTTATTTATTTATTTATTTATTTTTATTTATTTATTTTTTACAGAGAAGAAGAGAGAGGGATAGAGTTAGAAACATAAATGAGAGAAAAAAACTGATCAGCTGCCTTGACCGGGATCGAACCTGGGACTCTTCAGTCCGCAGGCCGATGCTCTATCCACTGAGCCAAACCAGCTTCAGCAAGCCTCTCTTGTTTTGACCAGATGTTCTCCTGCCCATTTGCCTGTTGGAATTTCATTAGGCCTTGATCTGGATCATGGGATTATGATTCAGAGAGGGGTTGAAACTGGTTTTCCTACTACTCAGCGGACATTATGACTTGATTCGTACCTAACACTTTCTGAAGATGCTGATATTCTGCAACTATTTCAGTCGTTATGTTGAAGAAGACCGGGGAAACACACACACACACACACACACACACACACACACACACACACACACACACCAAGCAACATTTGGAGAGTTGGGTGGGCTTAGAGAAAAATGAATTCAAATTCTAAGCAGAGCAAACAAGCAGAATTTTTCTTTTTAATTAAAGAACCAGCCCTATGTGTGCTTAGTGGTTATCTCGTTGGAAGCTTGTGGTCTTGAACACTGTTCTATCCGATTAAAAAATACACCTGGCATGGCAAGAGAGTATGGGCGTATCTAGTCTCTGGCCTACAAGGTCAGACAGCTAAGTTTATCTTCCTTATTATGCAAGCAGGCTAGAAAGCAAAGTTATTTTTATATTTTATATTTCAGAGAATTTCAAACAGTAGTTTTATAAAAGAGAGATTAGCCTTCTCAGTTATATAGAGTCATGTCTGGAAACCCCTGGTCTGTTCTCTGTCCTTATAAGTTTTGCCTTTAAAAGAATATTGTATAAATAGAACCATCTAGTATATAACCTTTTGTTTTTGGCTTCTAACACTTAGCATCATGCGTCTGAGATTCAACCATGCTATATTACATGCATTGTTCCTTTTTTATTGCTGTAGTGTTTCATTGAATGGATGTACAGTATTGTTGATCCATTCCTCAGCTAAGGGACAGTTGAGTTTCTTCCAGTTTGGGTGGCTATGAGTAAAACCACTATAAACATTCATGTAGAGTGTTTTTTTTTTTGTTTTTTTTTTTTGTTTGTTTGTTTTTTTTTGTGTGTGTGTGTGTGTGAACATATGTTTTCATTTAAGTTGGCTAAATACTGAGAGTGGGAATGCTGGGCGGGGTGGCAAGTGTGCATTCAACTTTATAGCGAACTGACAAACTGTCCAGTTTTGAGATTACATGGGCAGTGTGTGAGAGTGATGGTTGGGTCAGTCAGATTCTTGCAAGCACTGGGATTGTTAAAAAAAAAAAAATTAATTTTAGCCATTCTAAGAAGTGTGTAGTGGTATCATTGACACTTTAATTTGCATTTCCCTAATGGAGAATGTTGGACATTGTGTGCCACCCGAATACATTCCTCTTTGACTGCTTTTGTTACTGTGGTAGGAAGTGCAGAGGGCGGAGGGGCATTCTCTGCTGTCCTAATTCAGCCTCAGACGCAGGCACTATGTCCTTGGGCATCAGGGCGGGACCTTCTCACTTATCCTTCCTCACCCCAGCACCTTTGATAGTCTGCACCTGAGATGCAGCAGTGGCTCTTCATCAGAGCCTTAAAGGTGAGGCTTGTATTGTCATGGTTATTAATCCTCACCTGAGGATCTTTGCCCATTGATTTTTAGGGAGTGTGGCAGAGGGGGAAGACAGAAACATCTTGTGAGAGAAACACATGCATTGATTGCTTCCTGCACCAGCCCTGGTAGTGCGGGAATCGACCTGGGACCGCTCTATCCACTGAGCTAAACTGGCAAAGGCAAGGCTTATATTTTTTAAGGAAGATAGGGGAGAAAGATTCGGGGGTGAGGGCTAGGTGGGGAGGGCTCTTTGCTTTTCTTGTATCTGCCGCCATTGAAGGATGGCTTCTTTAGAATCCTTATCGTGCACCCCACATCTTCTTTGTGAAGTAATGATGCCCGAATCCAGTCTATGGAGAAGAGCTGGAAAGTGTTTGCAGATTTCTCTAGTGTTCCCAGGGGTTCTACCTTCTCAGCTCCTCAGCCTTTAGCCATTTGATACAACTTTTAGGTGATTTTTGTTGTTGTTATCAGATTATATAGCATTTGATGGGATCTGCTCAGGTAAGCCAGTACTTATGTCCTGCCTCTACTTTGATGTGTTTGCCTTTTCTTAGATTTCAGGTTATTTTGGTTACCCTGCAATCTAAGCCCTTAATTATTATTTTTATAGCAAGGCCTACACTTGCATGAATTTTGTGCATCGGGCCTCTAGTTAATAATACAAAATATATAAAAGCCTAAGTGATTGTCCAGTAGCTATGACATTCAATGACCACCAGGGGGGTCAGATGCTCAATGCAGGAACTGCTGAGCTGCAGTGACTTGGCAGCTGAGGGTCTCAGGTACTGCACCTGGGACCAGAGAGGAGGGAGTCTGATTCCAGGGTGTGTCACCCAAGAAGCACCCTGTTGCAATCTGGGACCCCCTCGCGGGGATGTTGGAGAGCTGGGTTCAACCTGATCCCCACAGGTCAGGCTGAGGGACCCCGCCAGTGCATGAATATGTGCAGCAGGCCTCTAGTTCTGAATGGGCCTGAGAATCACTGATTGGCTGCCTCCTGCACGCCCCCCACTGTAACTGTGTATTCACCAAGATAAACTCACAGCTGTAAATCTACTTTTATTAAACCTATAATTGACATATATCATTATATTTGTTTTAGGTATATGATTTAAGTATATATTGTACAATGATCACAATAAGTTTAGATTTTTTTGAGAGTATTATCTTTTAAAAAATATATTTTATTGATTTTTTTACAGAGAGGGAGAAGGATAGAGAGCTAGAAACATCGATGAGAGGGGGACATCTATCAGATACCTCCTGCACAACCCCCACTGGGGATGTGCACACAACCAAGGTAAATGCCCTTGACCGGAATCGAACCTGGGACCCTCCAGTCTGCAGGCCGACGCTCTATCCACTGAGCCAAACTGGCCTTGGCGAATATTACCTTTTTAATTCAAAATTTTAATAATATAAATTTATATCCTGTATAATAAAGAGGTAATATGCAAATTGACCATCACTCCAACACACAAGATGGCCACCCCTGTGTGGTCAAAGATGACCACCCTCATGTGGACACAAGATGACCACCACAAGTTGACCTGAAAGGGAGGGCAGTTGTGGGCAATCAGACCAGCAGTTATGGGTGACTGGGTCTGCAGGGGAGGGAATTTAGGAGTGACCAGGCCAGCAGGAGATGGTAGTTGGGGGTGATCAGGCCTATAAGGGAGGACAGTTAGAGGTGACCAGACTGGCAGGGGAGGGCAGTTGGGGATGGCCAGGCCTGTAGGGGAGGGCAGTTGGGGGGTACCAGGCCTTCAGGGGAAGCTGGCAGGGGAGGGCAGTTGGGGGTGATCAGACCTGTAGGAGAGGACAGTTAGGGGTGACTAGGCTGGCAGGAGAGAGCACTTAGGCACAATCAGGCTGGCAGGGGAGCAGTTAGGCATCGATCAAACTGGCAGGGGATTGGTTAGGGGTGGTCAGGCTGGCAGGCAGAACTGGTTAGGGGCAATCAGGCAGGCAAGCGGTTGGGAGCCAACAGTCCCAAATTAGAAAGGGTAAGGCTGGGCTGAGGAATGCCCCCTTCCTGTCCATGAATTTTAACACTGGGCCTCTAGTGTAAGCATAAGAGAATAGAGAACGCGTGGACACTTTATACAATGTAATTTATACTCTATAATTTTATCATATATGTAACTTTGTGTATTCACCAACGAAGTTAAGAATACAGAACATTTCTATAACAAGGATGCTTTTGTTGCCCTTTTATATTACCTACACCTTTTCCCTCTTAGCAACCACTAATTTGTTCTCTGTATCCATTTTTTGTCACTTCAAAAATATTATGAGATCATATAGTCTATAACCTATAACCTTTTGGGATTTTTTCATATGGCTTTGAATGTTTTTTTTAAATTAATTTATTTTTTTATTTATAAGAAACTGCCAACTAGTTTCTTCTAGTGTGGCTGTATCATTTTAAGTACCACCAGCAATGTATGAGTGATCTATTTCTCTGCATACTTGTCAACATTTTGTGTTGTCACTATTTTTCATTTTAACCTTTCTGATCTCATTAGTCACTGATAGTTAAAGATGCTAAAAAAATGTGTTTTTTTTTAAATGGTTTTATTTCAGAGAAGAGGAGAGGGTGAGAAAGATAAGAAACATCAATGATGAGAATCATTGATTGGCTGCCTCTTGGACGCCCCACATTGGAGATTGAGTCCACAACCCAGGCATGTGCCCTTGACTAGAATCGAACTTGGGATCCTTCAATCTGCAGGCTGATGTTCTATCCACTGAGCCAAACCAGCTGGGGCTAAAAAATGTTCCCTTATATATATTTGCCATATGTATATCCTCTTTGGTAAAATTTTGGTAGTTTTTTTTGCCTATTTTTTAATTTAATTTGTTATTTTACTATTGAGTTTTTTAAAATATATTTATTGATTTCAGAGAGGAAGGAGAGAGAGTTATAAACATCAATGATGAGAGAGAATCATTGATTGGCTGCCTCCTGCACAGCCACTACTGTGGATAGAGCCCACAACCCAAGCATGTGCCCTTGGCCGGAATCGAACTGG